TTTTAATTTCGGTCCCCAAAACTTTTCATTATTCCGAACCCCTCAAACAATAGCTGATTCTGAATAATTCCCCGAAAACTTTTCATTAATCCGAACCCCTCCATTCAAAGGGGTGCCACATTAACCCCGGGAGGATACCTTGGGGAGTAGCGCACCTGAACCTAAAGCCTAAACCAGCATCCGTGCAGGAAGCCTACAGTCCTGCGCCGAGCTCCGAAGGCGTCACCCATGTGAACCACGTGATTGTACCTCGCGGACAGGCCAGATCTATTCAAACAGGATTTAGAGTTTAGGGCTCAGGACTCAAGGTTCAGGAAGGGTTTGGGATTTGGCGTTTAGATGCATCTTAGGAATTACGGTGCTGAGGGGCTTAGAGCATTTTGGAGCATCATGTGAGATTCTTGGAGATCACTTGTAAGGGGGTAGCGTTAGCGTCTGGGGAACGGATACGGTTCATCGGGTCGAGCTGGCTCAAGGGTTTATGGGCATTTTCAGAGCGTGCAGGGCAACATGAAACCCCACAAGAGCGCCAGCGCCCAAACCACAACCAGGTACAAGTAATATCCTACAGTCCCTCAGAGCTACATGATAGCACTAGTGTTTTGTACCATACCTACCGAGGTTTGTTGGGAATGTAAACACAGCCCTGGTAGGCAGCGGATGGCTCCGTGCTGGTGTGCGAGAGCAGAGCTGAGCAATTGTAATTTGTCGAAGAAAGCTTCTCGCTATTCCAATCCCCTCATAGCAATAGGGTTTAGTGTTTATAGGGTTTACAATTTACTGGCTGTTAGGATCTGATGAAGGACTGCAAAAGAACATGAAGCTTCTTTGTGGTTCAGAGGTCAAGGTTGGTTGTCAGTATGGAATCGTAAATGTAATGGAAAGGCTACTGGAAACTAAAAGAGAAACTGGTGGCTCACACGGATATATTATAATGTGTAGGCGTTTTGGATTTGGGGTTAACTTGCTGGCCAGTGGCAGTAGGGAACGACGGGAAAAGAAGATGGAAGCTTTTTCCTTCTTGAAGAATGTAGGGGCTGCTACGAGAGACATCCCTACCAACAACCCGGAAGATGAGACCTCCCACCCGCCAAATAATACAGTTTCACGCTATGGTTTATTTGGAGGAGGAGTTGCTTGATTGTCAGGGAAGCGGGGTGCCCTAGGTACATGGCGACGAAAAGGGAAGAATTGGCGAGTTGTTGTGACTGTGCTTCTTTTGGAGACCTTTCAAGGTGTATGACCAGAGTTGTGCTGAAGCTTTCTTCACAATGCAGAAAGCTGTTTCCACCGTCGCGTAGTGTTGAATTTGCCAGTTCCGGCGAATGCCAGGGATGTCCAAAATCCTGGGTCCTTGGAGAAACCAACCTGAGTAAGATCTCAGAATTTTTAACGCTTTTTGAAAAGAAGGCAGGGTCATCTGCAGCGGCGTAGAGAAGGACGAGCCAAAATAAGAGGCCGTGGTTCTGCCGCTTGCACCCGTCCCGCAGCTGACGCAGCCTCCGTCATTGAAAAGCATTGAGGAAAACGCCACATAGTCATGCAAGTAATATAGGTTGGGTTAGGCCCCCACTCATTAATGGTGGTATACTAGGATGAAAACAATCAGGATCCCGATTTTTGGTCACCATTAGAGGGTGGGGGCCCAACCCAAAACATAGGGCCATAACCATGAGTAGTTGTTGTGGATCACAGATCAGCACATCACATGGTTGCAGCATCCGAATTAGAAAGCTGGCGGTTTGTTATTGTACCCGTTGATCCTGCTGTCAAAGTCTAGCGATGAGGGATGTCCCCATGGCGCAGTCAGTTTGCAATTGTTGCAAAGGTGGGCTTACGTCTGACCAAGAATCATCGTCAGTTAAATCGAAGAAGTTGCAGTAGCATAACAGCAGCCATGTTTGTTGTTGAGTTGCTCATCAGTTACTTAAAGAGAGAAGTACGGGGAGTAGACTAGGAATAGGCGTAGGAGCAACAGCAGCAGCAGGAGGCAGTAGTAGTAGTAGTAGTAGTAGTCATAATAAGAATAAGAGGGGGAGTGGCAGCAGTAGCTCCAGCAGTCGTGATCGTAGTATTCTCAGCAGCAGTAGTAGCAGTAACAGTAACGCTCGCATAGCTTGGTTCATTGAATGCTCCAGCTGCTTACATTGTACCTAGGCCTTTGCCTGCGTGGTAAAGTGACGTGGGAATTTCGCAAACTTGGGGTGCCCTTACGGACTCTACGGCCAAGTATACGGAGATTATACGGGCTTCATGCGGGCCCCTATCAACCTAAGAAATTCCTACGCGTGGCATCCAAAATGGACACCACCAGATCCGCTATTCAGACAGCCATACCTGGCAAATCAAAGCCTCCTTGCCGGCGAAGCTGGCCGCTTCGCCACGGGATCATGCCCACAATCAGAGTAGAATGTTCCATTGCATAGCTAACGCTTACCAATGCTTACCACCTGTACCCAAGCTCTCGTGAGCATGTCCTCCATGGGGCGTCGAGCAGTTTCATGCAGAAGCAGTCTGGAAAGATGTTCTGGGATCAGGCTTGGAATGTCGCAAGGGCATGCTAGAGTGCTGGGGTTAGGCACAACTGCGTGTCAATCTGCAAGCCTGCCGAATCTCATCTGCATTTGTGGGAGTTCTCCGTGCTGTAGCTGTGGCAAGCGCAGCTTCCCTGGACAGCAGAAATTACGACAGTTCAATGTAGCTGGAACTAGGACATGTCGAAGCAAAGTGAATCCTTTTCGTTTGTCTTTGTACATGGAGGGATCTGGATGGACGCATGCACACTATGAGCCGTGACCGTTCCCAATCATCTCGAGTTCTTTTCATCTTTGATTCGCGTCGACGCCCTCCCAGAACCAGCTCCTCAGTTGGCTGGGCATGGCTCGCCGCCGTGTGGCACTGCTGGGTGGTCTGGGTCTGGTCCTGCCAGGGGCCTAAAATCAACACCGAAATCCCAGCGGAGACAAAGGGAGAGAAAGCATTTTCTTGCAAACTACGAACCATGCTGACAATGTTTGCCTTCTCGATTTCCCGTCAGCCCAACTCTGAGTTTCTAGGAAGGTCATTTTACTGGTGAATACAGGTATCGGCACAACAATGATACACCGATCACTACTGTTGTTATTCTTCTCAGTACTATTGCTATTTTTGTTTTCTGTCCGTCGTTAATTCTATCATTGTTACTAACATCACTATATATTGTTATAGCAGATCCACCCTAGACACTGGCACAAGTCATTAGCAAGCTCAGGTCGCCAAGCCTCCGGCGCTCCCAAATTGGTTTTTCTGCATACAGTCAATCTGCAGGCCTCGCCTTTTTAGGTGCTGGATTCTTGTGGGGATCCCCTCCCCCACTCCTCCTTCAATACCAGTAAGTAGCACGAGATTCTTGGGGCCAGAAGGGCAATGACAATCATGTATTCCAGATACAAACAGTAATAATATAGTACTAATAATAATTGTACCAATAATAATACTTATAGTAATAATAGTGCTAATAATAGAATAATGATAGTACCAACAATAACAATACTACTAATCATAAATAGGGGCATCCAACGCAAGCTCCCGCGACCGGGACAGGCAGCTGCCAGAAGCGCCCTGCTCGCGCCTGCCTTATTACATAATTGGGGTTATATAGGGGGTTATATAGGGATTATATAGCGGGTATATAGGGGGTATATAGGGGATTATATAGGGGATAGTGGGAAAGAAAATGGAAACTACTATGTTATTGGCATTTTTAGCAGGCTGAAATCACTCCTATGACGCAAGGTTGTGCGTAGGCAGGTTTACACTTTTGGGATAGAGGGATTCCTCTGTTTTAGAATGTCCCTCATACAGAGAGCTTATCCACGGTACTACTTTGCGAAACTCACCCGTGAGGATACTCAGATGGTTGAAGATGAGAAGTCTTGTAAAATTCCTCGCAAGCTCAGAACATCACCATCTTCCGGTCTTGCAGTGGTACCATTACTTGCCCACGTCAGCAACCATGGAAGGGGGTGATCATTGGGAGCGCCTCGTCTCTCATACCTCCTACATGTCTCTAGGATCCTCCACTATCTCCCAGGTTTTATTTGCATAGTCGCGATCATCCTAAGGAGACCGAGCCAGCTTTGTGAATGCCTTGCCGGCAAAGCCGCACGGAATCAAGTACCGAAAGCACTCGGTGAAAGCCGGCCACATCGTTGGCACGGAGGCTCTTACTTGGGGACTTGACACTTTGCCTGCTTCAACCAATCTCTATAGCATCCCTGGCCACCTATAGAAGTTTGATGTTCAAAGATCCCAAACATGTTTCCTGTGCCATAAATCCTCTGGTCACAAAGGTACGCTATTCTGAAAACAGAGGACCTTTTCCTGACCGTATCTACCGATGCACTCGTTGCAGACATGACTTAACACAGTGATGATTACGCAGGATCTGTGGAGTAGTCGCTGCCGAAAAACTCTGGCCTGACTACTCATTAGTCTGCGGAAGTTCTAAGTTCTCTTCTATGTCTCCATCCAGTAAAACATCAAAAATAGATATCCTAGATCTAAAGCCGCAAGCCAGACGACTTTGAGAAAGGAGGCGCCCTGAAGCCCTTTGCAAGCGCCATCATCTGCAAATTGCCTCCTCAAGCTGCATTATACTATATATATCATAGCTTTCTTAGCCCCCCCCCTCCAGCCCCCAAACTCAAACTAATTCGTCGGTGTATTTCAGAGAAGCACACAGCAAAA